GATGGAGCCGTGGGTCCTGGTGTCGATGACGATGGCGACGCTGTGATGGGCACTGGTGTTGGCGTCGTAGGTGGAGCCGATGCCTCCGTGGCGGGAGACGGAGGAGGGTCGTTCGACGCGGTGGGATGTTGTCGCGAAGGTGTGGCCGCGCGTCCGGGCAGTGGAGGATCGTCCGCTTGTTCTCCGCGTGGAGGCGCTGGCGCACGACGTCGCGACGTTCGCGTTCCAGTGGGGATCTGGATCACGTCGTCGATGCATGGCTGGCATTGGTGAGCTACCGTCGTCAATGGTGTGGCATCCTGCGCAAAGGGAAAACATGTCTCGTCGAAATAGACGTGACGAGAGATTATAACCCGCTTGGTCATTGGATTGTAGCATTTGTAGCCACGTTGATCGAGTGGGTATCCGAGGAAAATGCATCGTGCAGAACGTGGTGTGAGCTTATGTGGCACGGTTGCAGCGGTGTTGGGATAGCAAAGGCAGCCAAAGATGCGGAGGTGGGCGTACTCTGGCGATGCACCGAACAGGAGCTCGTAGGGCGTGGCGTGTGCACGAGGGCGACATGGTCGGCGATTAAGCAGGTATGTGGACGCTGCGAGCGCATCAGGCCAGAACATAAGCGGTGCCGAGGCCTGAAATAGAAGGGTATGTAGGCCATCATTCAGCGTGCGTAGAACGCGTTTAGCATGCCTGTTTTGCTGTGATGTGTATGGACATGTTAGGCGTAGAGCAATGCCGAGCGTGGCAAAGAATGCACGAGACGCTGAGTTATCAAACTCTTTGCCATTATCCGTTTGGAGACACATGATGGGAACCTGAAACTGTGTGCGCACAAATGCATGAAAGGAAATCAGGGTAGGGAGAACATCATATTTGTGGCGCGACGGGAACGTCCAGGCATAATGAGAGTAATCATCCAAAATGACAAGATAGTATTGATAACCAGAATTGCTTAAAATTGGGGATGTCCAGACATCACAATGAAAAAGTTGGAATGGAAAAGCAGAAACATTATTGGAAGCACTAAATGGCAGGCGTACATGTTTGCCTAAGCGACACGCATGGCAAGTGTGACGGCTGGATTTGGTGCAGGAAAAGCCAATGGAATGGGACAAACGCTGGAGCGTATCCTGACCGGGGTGACCAAGGCGCGCATGCCAGATCGTGCTGTCGGTGGAGGCGAGGAGAGCTGTTGCAGGGGGCGCCGGAGTTGCTGCAAATGGTGCCGAGGAACCCTGGATGGGATAGAGATCTCCTGAGGAATCACATCGGAGGAGCGCCATCTTGGTACGGAGATCCTTAATGGAAAAACCCCAGGGATCAAATTCAATAGATACTGAATTATCACGGGTTAGAGCGCGCACTGAAATTAGATTCTTGACAATTTGAGGGGCAATTAAAGCATTGCGAAGTTGCAGAGGAAAAGAGGAAGGAGCAGGGATGGAGGCATGGCCAGTGCATTGTGTGAGAAGAGACTGGCCGTTGCCAACAATAATATGACGGTGAACAGGAGTGGAGGGGACAGAACTGAGGATACCGGAGTTCGACGCCATGTGAGCCGTGGCACCCGTGTCGAGGAACCAGTCACCGCCGCCGCCACTATTGGTGTTGATGGACATGTCGTTCAGGGCGGAGTAGAGCCCGGCCGGCAGTTGGCCCTGAGTGGTGGCGTGGAAGGCGGGATCCTGAGACGGCGGTGATGCGGAGAGCGCGGCCATGGCTTGTGGAGGGTGGATGCCGGGCCAGGAGCCGAGAACGCTAGGCCGCCAAGCGTTCATGGGCCACGCCTGCACAACGCCCTGCCACGGGTTGTAGGCCGTACTCCACGGCGGTGGTGGCGCGCCTGCGTGCAGCGTGGGCTGGGCACCGGAGGAGGCGCTCTGGCCGCCGGAGGTGTTCTGGCAGTTGCGGCCATCCGACGCCTTGCGCTTCTTGCGACGATCATTGGCACCAGTGGTGGGTGCCTGTGGTTGAGACGGGGACGGCGCGACGGGCTTGTTCGCAGGTGAAGTGGTGGCGGCCGCCACGAGCGCCGTCTGCGCCTCCATGTGCTGGGAGTGCCTCATGCGATGTTCCTCCTGCAGCAAATAGGATTTGGTGTAGAGGAATGTGGGCGGGGGAGACATGGTGGAGAGGACTGCAATGGCCTGACTAAACTTGTTGTTCAGGCCACGCAGAGTGTTGATGACAAGCGCTGGGTCGGAGACGGCGGCGCCGCAGTCGTAGAGGGTGTCGGCGAGGCGCTTGAGGCGGCCGCAGTACTCGCTGATGTTCATGTCGCCCTGGAACAGGCTGTGGAACTCCTGCTGAGCGTAGACGGCGCGTTGCAGGCTGTTGTCGAGGAACTGGCTCGTGATCGCCGTCCACGCGGAGTAGGCAGTGGCGCGCGGCCGGTTGACGTCGTTCCAGATTTCCTTGGAGACGGTGGAGTAGAGCCAGGAGACAATGCAGGAGTCTACCTGGAGCCACTCCGGGTCATCGATCATGGCGGCGGCGGCGACGGTGCCGTCGATGTGGTTGACGAGGCCGAATTTCTGGAACGTGAGTTTGAAGAAATTGCACCACTGCCGGAAGTTGCCGTCGTTGGAAGAGAAGACGACGGGAACGTGGTTGCGGATGTTGAGGAGCACAAGCGTTGAGGCAGCTGGAGGAGCAGGGTCTGCTGGGCCAGCGAACGGGTTGGACGAGGAGGAACCCGAAGTGAGAGAGTTGGGGCAACGGAAGTGGTGTTGGATCAGGGGTAGACTGATACCATGTAAGAGACAAGAATGGGAGAGAATGCTCAATCGTATTCCATGACAGTGTATGAGTACATATACAAGTGCCAGAGCACTCGTGGCCGTAGGCTACAGACTGCTAACCTGAAGACTCGGATCAGCTGAAGAATCGGTCCCAAACGTGACCATGACCCTATACAACAAACTAACCAGCTGATCCTTATCTATCTATAGTATGCGGAGGAATAGGTCGTTGACAATTAGACCTGTCATGTATCATTTTTTCATAGTGTACGACTCATTTATTTTACAATAATATGTTAACAGTTCAGGAATCCAAAGGAGGTTGAAAATGAACGGATGGAGTTATGGTATGTAATGCTAATATACATGTTGATGTCAAATTTCATCATGCTGCAGACTCTGAATGTCGAACCCAATCACAACAGAAGATAGACAGAAGCTGAAACCATGGTAATATTGATTGTTTTGGCAACAAATGACCAATTTGTACAGATCAATCACGGAAAGAGTATATATAGAAAACAATTTTTGCTGTGGTACAGACTAAACTATAGCACACAGGCATCTCCATCTCCATCTCCATCTCCATACAAGAGGAAGAGTGGAAGACAAACGAATGAAGTTTGGTGCAGGGGAACTCTCAGGCTGAGGTCGGGAAGCAAAGCTCACAAAAAGCCTTCCTTCCCGTGAGCTCTGCCGCCGGAGCAGAGCTCTAGTGAAGCGCGTACGTGGCGATGAGGGAGGCCACCATGAGCAGGTAGGCGACGCCCCTATCGACAGCCTGCCGGTCAATCCCCCGCCTCCCCCGCGCGGCGGCGCCCGCCACCACCGTCTCCTCCATGGCCGACGACTTGCCAGCTGCTGCCATGCTTCTGAGTTCTGACGCCGAGCAAAGGATCAAACCGAGCCTAACGGACGCAAGCAGCAACGGAGGCCGAGAAGGAAATACTCCTATGATTGTGGTGTTGCTGGGAGAGCTTGCTGCCATGGTGGCATGGTGCGGTGTATATATATGCGTGAGTTTGTGAAGTGCCTGGAAGGGGCGGCGGTGGAAGGAAGACTTGCTCAAGTCAGTCCGGCCGACGGGTCGGTAGCAGCGAGCCGCCTCGTTTGATCGGTCGGGGGTGAGGCCAAAAGCGTGGGGCTCTTCTGCGGACGGGACTGGGAAGAGTATTGGAAGCTGGAACCTGGACGGAAGGTCGGGATGGACGGAAGGTAGAGGAGAGGACCAACCGCGTGGAATGGAAGGTTGAGTGCGCCGGAAATGCTTCTAGTTCTAGACGCGAATGAGTGAATGGCGGCTGGCTGGCGTGGTTATTGCTGCGAAAGCGGAGGCGTGCCGCGTGCGGCGTGCCTGTCCGTGCCCGTGTGGTGCAGCCGTGCAGGCACCGGCTTTGATCGACCTGGCTCGCCCGCGGTGCGATACGGAGCAGGAACTAGGGCCTGGCTGTCTCTCTGGCGGTTCCTGCGCGGGCCGAGCTTGACGCAGCTAGGCCCGAGCAGCCCCTTTTGACTTGGTTGCCATCTGTGCTGACTTGTCGACCGACGAAATGTCGTGGTTCATAACGTAAATCGAGTGAGGCCGCAGGGTTTTTGTTGAGACATTTCTCTCAGATCTTACCCATCAAAGGAAAGGATCAAGCCGCTCATGAGTTGTACAACAAATATGAGTTCGTGCTGGATGTCGCAGGCAGGAGCAGAGCGACCGTGAACTGCACGGATCACCTCCAAGATCCAATCCAGGCGAGAACGGAGAACCCAGCTCTGCTTTAGGGGCTGTTCGGTTTTCTCGGAATGCACAAGAAATAATTCCAGCTCCTCGAAATTAGCACAAATTATTGAGCCCTTTTTAGTAGGAGAAATTTGGATTTTAGGGCTACTGTAGCACGTTCGTTTTTATTTGGTAAATAGTGTTCAAACATGGACTAATTAGGCTCAAAACGTTCGTCTCACAATTTCCCAACAAACTGTGCAATTAGTTTTTCTTTTCGTCTACATTTAATGCTCCATGCACGGATCGCAAACATTCGATGTGACAGGTACTGTATCCCCTCGTGACTCACCGCGAGCGCAGGTCCGCACCACCGTCACATCCACAGAGCTGCCTGGAACTCGCTCGAACCAACCAACACTGCTTGCCACCTCACCGCCGCCGTGCTGGACCTGCTGCTGCTTCTGATGATGGCCACCACCCCGGAATCGTCCCGTGCCGCCACAAGCCCGTACATGCCCGTCGCGGCACACGAGCTCCGGAGGCAGATGTCCATGCCGGCCGCCCTCGCGACCACCTTCGCGTCATGCGGCCACGGATGGCCAAGAAACCTCGGGGACGACGGCGGCGGCAGCGGCGACGGCGAGCTCCGCGGGCGCGCGCCCCGGCCAGCAGCAGGCGGCCCCGGGGCGGTGGTCCGTGCGCTGTGGACATGGGTCGCGAGGGGCAGCAGGAGGAAGGCGGTCATGAGCCGGAGCGGGTCGTCGGTGAAGGAGCAGCAGTACGGGCACGAGGAGTACGCGCAGAACTTCGACGAGGGCGGCGCGGCGGGGGAGCCCGAGAACCTGTTGCGGTCCTTCTCCGCGCGGTACGCCAGGCAAGCGCCGTGGGACGGGGCTCGCCGGAGTGGATGAATCAGCTATTTTCGCCTAAGGCTCTGACCATCGGTGCTTCGACTGGCGCCATGGTCTCCAGTGATCGACAGGGGCGTGCTAAGCCTTGAGCGGCGCCATGAACCCATGCCTTTTTTTTTTGCGACTTGCCATGAACCCATGCCTGTGATACGTGCGCTGCACATTGCGGTATTCTTTGGTAACCGTGGCAAATTGGCAAGGCACAAGGCAGAGAGGCCATTTCTGTGTAGTGATTAGTCATTAGTGAGACATTTGTATCAGCTGTATGGTGGTGGTGCAGTTGTGCATTCTTGGCTTTGATGTGCTGTGACGGTACAAGTGAATTGTAGTGCCTTTTGTCTCCCTCCATGTTAAGCTTGATCAAGATCTTATTAACTGTCCAGTAGCCAACTCAATCATAAGCAGGTTTCTTTGCGTGCCGCCTCAATTAACCTCCAATTGAAGCACTGAACGAACAAATCAAGGAACGAAACTGAATGGCATTGTCATCATCCAAATTACACACCGATGCTCCCGCAATTAGGAGACCATGACTATCATCATCACAGACCAAAAAAGGTGTGGAAGAAAACAACATCAACGTACATATACTTGTCTGTTGCTGACATGGTTGTGAATAAACCTGTGAACACACGAAACTGAATTACCCCATGGTTATGCGCGACCAGGAGGGTTAAGGTAGCAAATACTACGTCGCCTCACATCTTTTCGTTGCAAAACAGAGAAAGACAACAAAAAATTGTTTTTGTTGAAGAAAAAAAAAAGAAGTGCTGATAACCGGTTCTTCACTTCTTCATGCCCAGCCTATCTTGCATCTAGTGTCCAGCCATTCGCAACTCAGCTCCCTTGGCCGCTGCCTCCGCTGGCACTCTCCACAGGTGGAATGGTCTGCAGGAGCAGGAAATGAAAAAGGATAATAAGCAGGAGGGTCTTGTGTAGGAATTGGGTCGAACATGTGGTGTGCACGGTGGCAGGGGTGGAAGGGCCGTAGAGACGAACCATGTCAGGCTTGTAGATGTTGTGGACGATGGATGCACCAGCGAGGAGGGAGGCGACGATGACAACAGAAGACCACGCGAGGGATGGAGTCCCCGTCGGCACCCGGCCGCCACCAAATCTCTTGCCACCGTTCATCCTCGTGAGTCGTGAGTCTGATGCCTTGGCCTGTTTGGATAACTAGAATTGAAACTCATTCCATGAATTGTATTGTGGGAATTAGATTCAAAAAGAAATGAAATAACTAGTAGTTCAATTCAATTTTCTTATTTGGGTGCACATGGAATAGTTTTCTAAGAAACAATTTCAAATTTTGTTTGGATGATTAAAAACATATCTCCAAAGACAGCTATCTGCCTATCTCTATGCAAACAAGCATGGCATCTCTCTCCTTCCACAAGAAAACTTATTCTTTCTCTATACAGTAAACCTTCTCTCTACATGGAGTTTGGTTCTCTCCACAAAAAAAAGCATGGCTCCTCTTTACACAGCAAATTTGTAAACAGAATAAGCATAATCTCATAACAATGCAACAAGAACCATTTCATTTATGTAAAAATTGAGGCCTAACCAACAAGGATGACTTCTTTTCTGTAAAAATCCAAGCAACGCAATTCCATGTATACTAGATTTTAAAAAGTAAAAACAGTTTATTAGTTCAGGCAGTTGACATGCACCTTTCAAAAAAGTATAAAAATGGAATCATATATCTCACTGTTTGAGAGTGTTCATCCAGAAAAGCCAGTGATCTATTGTACTCAATCTAGTGTACTAATAAATAGCAAATAATAAAAAACGTAGTTGATCTCACTTCTAGAACAAGGTCAGATAGCATCACAATATTTTAAGAATGAACTCACAGAGGTAGCTAATGTAAGGCCAAGGAGTAGCCAAGATATCACGAAATCAATGCCTTGCAGATGCAGTTCAGAAACAAAGAAAGAGAGCCAAAAGCGTGTAATTGTATCTAGTGCAATATAAGGCCCAGAATCATGTCAGCTTCCATTGTTTTCTTTTCCATCCTACTAAACAAGTGCTCTGAATTAACCCAAAAACATCAATCATAAGATGCCACTCTACCATCGTATTCAGTACCAAAAGGCTACCCACCTCATGACACCAAGTTTGATGACACCCAACAGCAAGCAAAGAATAATATACTAGGCATTATTTGTATTAAACAGCAGGTAATGAACTAAAATAACTATCTATCTGTATTAATATAGTTAATCACAAAAAAGAAACAGGGCATCTATTGACTGTTGGGCAAAAAGGCACTTGCACACTCATTCCTGCGTTTGGCAAATAATTAACCATATCACACCACAGTGGCGGAACCAGGATTTTGACCCAGGGTAGTTCTAGCTAAATTTACTGTATGCAATTGAGTATAATCTAAATTCACAATTTGGTATGCATAATATTTGTAAGAAATTCAGCATACAAACAGGAGATTGTCAAAAGCATGATACACATTTAAAAGGTCTCCTGGTATCTTACATTCAACGAAACAAGTTGGAAACTTTCACAGACGCAATGTAAATAATTCTAAGATAAACCAATCATTTCCGTGCTTCATGCCTCAACTATATGACAATAATTGCAATGTGTAGGTAAGCTGACATGAGACTTAGCCTAATAGAACTAGAAAATGTCATGACATTGTAATGAATTTAACTCTCCACCAAATATGCTCAATGTTGCTCTATTTAAGAAATTGAAAAAAAGGCATTATAGCAAATAGCAATGTCTATTGCCTAGGAGTACTAGCAGCCTAGGTAAGGAATGGAGACTAATGCCAAATATGCTCAGTGCTCACCACTGAATAATACGAGGCGAGGAGACGCTGCAGTCTGCAAAGGGGATGTCCGCTACTCTGGCTTTCCAGAGGTGAAAGGCCGATCTACCGATGCACGTCGGTGAATCGACGTTCGCTGTCACTCCGACAGGCCGCCTGGTGGTGCCCTGCGCCCAGCGCCCCCGCCGGCTGCCAGCGACCCGCGGCTGAATCCCTATAACGGTGGGCGGGGCTGAGCGGGAAGCGGGGCACGGCTGGCGACCGGGTGCCGGAGCAGATGATGGGCGGGGCAGAGCGTGAAGCGGAGCACGGCTGGCGACCGGGTGCCGGAGCAGAGGAGGGGGCACGGCGCACAGAGGAACGGAGGATGGGGGCGGTGGCGGCGCACAGCGAGGCGAGGCGAGGCCAGTCGCCGTTCTGTCAGATGCAGAGTTCTCTCCATCCCTTTCCGAGTACACAGCACTACAGAATACAAATAGCACCAGTTGCCTAATGGGCCACCCATTCGGTAGCCTGGGCAATCGGTTTAAACCGAGAGTTCGGTCCCGTTTGTTCGGTTTTTAAAAATTTCGGTTCCAAGACATAAAGAACCGATCGGTTGTCAAACCGATAAGTTCGGTGTCGGTGTATTCGGTTCGGTTTTCGTTTCTACCGAACAAACCGACGGAATACATCACAGATAAACAGGTAGACAGTGAAGCGCACAGATCACAATTTCTCAGCACAAATCCACAGATCCACCTCGTTTCCTAGTCTTACATGTCCCCACGAAAGTTAAAAAAAAAAAATCAAAACAAGCAACTTTTGAAGCAAGCAAGGGTCGGATGGCTCTCCAGATTAGATCTAATAAAAAAAAGAAGCCAGGAGAAGAATACGAATCGAAGAATGCAACTGTCCGGTTCCGTCCAGCCACTCAAAACATGCAAGCAAGGGTCGCTTGCCTCGCTCAGCGGCTCGAGAAGACGAGCTCTGCGGCGGTCGCGCAGGCCGCAGGCGCAGATGGCGACTCGATGCGTCGTGCCGCCGTCGCCGATGAGGCCAGTCGCGCCACTCCGTCGTAGCCGCGGAGGCCTGCCGCGCTGCCTCGCCGTCGCCCAGGAGGCCGGCCGCGCTGCCCAGCCGTCGTCGAGGCAACTAGCCGCCGCCAGCCCCGAGCCGATAGGGTTGTTTTTGAGTAAAATAATGCGGACTGCTGGCTGCTGAGAGCTCGCCGCTCGCCGCTCGCGGCGGCTTGTAAACCTCGCGTGATGCCTTGGGCCGTTAATGGGCTGATGGCCTGCTGCTGTTAGTACTGTGCGGTACGCTACCTGCACTGCTCGGTGGCTCGGTGCTCCTCTGATACTTCGGTTTGTTCGACCCTGAAACCGAAACAGAAGCCGATGACCGAAATTTCCAGAGTAAAAACCGAAGCTGAAACTAAAAACCGATATTTCGGTTCGGTTTTCAGCTTTCGGTTTAAAAGTGCCCATTCCGGCCCGTAGCAGCGTGTGCTGGGTCGGCGGAGTCGTAGGCTCGTAGTGCGCGAGGCCCAGTAGTCACTGAAGACCCTTCGGAGCTTGTCAGCAATGCATTGCTGCTTTACTTGTCTTGTCTGTGGTATTTGCTTAACAATGATGCGTAACTTAGGTAAAGAAAAATATCACGACATTTTATATTTAGCTTGGGCTTGTTTAGTTTTTTCTCATATTGAAACACTGAGTATGTTTGGTAGTTTCAAATAAAAAATGGGAGAGGCTAGCGCCCGGATGTCCGTGCCTGCTGCGTTCGTTTTCCACACACGTGTCTGCCGGCCCCAGCACGCCCCGTCCGCAGGTCCCCGGCACGCCATGTGGCCCGTCCGCAGGCCCTCTACTCACCCTGTACGCAAGACCCTGGCTCGCCACATTTCATCCCCTGGCGCCTCGGGCCATGCCCCCATCACCCACCAGTGTCTCCGTGACTCTCCAAACATACCTATGAAACATGAAACACTTGAATGCAACATACGTCTAAAATAAATGAAACATTTGGAACATACACTTGCAACATATATGTGAAACATATGCAACATCCAGATAAACACACTTGCAACGTACGTCAGAAACAGATGAAACATTTTATATATGTATTGCAACATATGCAATATCTAGATGTATTTTTTGCAAAATCCAGATAACACAACTTGAAACATTCGTCTCAAGCAGTTGAAACACCTAGAAAATACACT